CGAGGATGCAATCCTCGGCGGCGACTTTCCCCGTCAATGCAGGGCCATTGCTTGGAGGTACAGAAGGCTTCTCCCTCCTGCTACAGACCCCAGCCCACTCCCCAAAAATTGTTACGGTGCAACAGCACTGCAGAGATACAGTGAAATAGAGGGGGTCTTACTCACATCAACCCCCATCAGGCTGCACGGCCATACCAAGGAGGTAAAATGCCACCCAGCCCGCCTGGCCAGGGGCCAGAGCCTGACATAAAAGAGCAGCCTTGAGTCCGTGCAGCCAAGAAGGGATTTCCTCCTACTGAGAGAGGAGTGTGGAGTTGCTGCAGTGCCTGTCCTCCAGCACCGGCTGGGAGGAGCTGTCACATCTTCCCTGAACTTCTGGACAAGAGCCAGGCGCTGCTGTGAGCAAGCCTGGCAGGATGCTGCCTGCCCTGCTTTGTATGGGAACAGAGCGGGGAAATAAAGTGAAGACACTCAGGAGAAAGCATCTCTGCAAGAGCACAGTCCCTCCAGGTAACCCCTCAGTGTGGTGCTCCCGGCTCCCCTTGCTCCCAGCACGCTGTCCTGGCTGGGGGAGATGTTCCCCAGTGTGGCTGCAGCAAGGTCCTGGGGAATCAAACCATCTCCATGCCATGGCAGGGTCTGTGCACATTGGCAGAAGAAAAAAAAAAAGAGAGAGACATTTAAGAAGGCAAAGAAACCATCAGAGGAACAGGCAGAAAGGGAGAAGGTCCCAGCAATGGGCAAGGATGGGTGTGAACAACACAGTAACTGAAGGTGAGGGAGAAGTAGAGGAGCAGAAATGCTCTAATCCAGCAGCCAAGAGAGACTCAAGGGTAACCTGTCACTTAGGGTGACCCTGGCAGTGTCCTGGTCCATGAAGCATTCAGGGAAAGGACCAATGAGGGGATCTCCCCAAGGACATCAGGCTCCACTGTGGCCCTGGGTGCTGTGGGAGAGAGTAGAGCAGCATGAAGTGATGGAGATCCGCAGGGACCTTCAGGTAAGGGCTGCATCCAGAAGGAGCAAGGCATTCACATAGGATGTGGAACAATACCTGGAGCCCGCAGAAGAAGTGAAGAGGGAATCCAAGACCAAAAGTTGCTCTTAGGCTGAGCTGCCTGCCAAGGCTTCCTGGGGGAGCATTCAAGGCACAGCTACCATCTTTAAAAGTAAGGCTTCCTCATGAAAAAGTCTAAACAACTTTCACAGCAGTTTCTCCAACGAAATGCTGCTATATTGCATTGTGTCAATTACTCACGGTTTCAGCCTGCATATGGGATAGAGTGTGCCCATGATATGCCATAACCACCTCATTTCATCCCCTCCCCTCCTGTGCCCTGCCACTTGGCCCAAGCCTCCTTCCGACCCCCTGTGTGACCACAGGTCCGGTGAGACTGGGGAACGACTCCTCCATTGGGAGCCTTCGCTAGAGGCAGAAATAGAACTGGTTGGAAAAGGTGCCAGCCCCCCCGTCCTTCTCAGTACAGCAGCACAGTTTCTCGTGGCAGCCGAGTGCCACGGCGCAATGGTGGCTGCTGGCAAGTCCTTCCCGACAGCCGCCCTCCCAGGTGCTTCCTGACATCTGCCTGGAGCTCGCGCTTCGCCTCCGTCTCTCGCTGACTCAAAAGCTGTCCTGGCGGGGCCGGCCGCAGTTCTGCTCACTTGGGTCTGCCTCTGGCTGCTCACATGTCACACCGGAGGCCGCTGATGACCAGGACCCGGCTGTTCTTGGCTACTGGAAGGGACTAACTGGGAAGAACAGGACAGCGTTTACGGCTGAGTCCCTGTGTAAGCCTGCGGCTGCACTTTCTGTGCATTAAGCGGAGAAAGCAGCAGATTTGGTTTTGGCCTCAAAGTCACAGCAAATTCTCAGAGATGCAAGGATAAAGAGTGATTGATTTCACAATATTGGCTTTGAGATTCATTTTAATACACAGAACAGCTTTATAAAGTTTCCTGCAATTGATGTGTCTTTCTTTTGATGATTCATTTCAGGGACGATGATTTTTTTAACATAGTAGCATTCAAGCTAAAAAAGCGCATGGCATTTAATAGAGCTTTTCTCTTCTTATGTTAATTTTTAGGGGTAATTTGTTTAAACCTACAGGTTCTTGGGGGATTTAGGTGCTTGCAAAAAGCTGAAGCAATTAGCAACTGTTTGAAATGGGATGTGCAACCTGTGGAACTGTGCAGAATTAAATCAGAGTATCTGTAGGTGCCCTGCAGCCTGACCTCAATACATCCCTGACCTGACCTCATTGGCACGAACTGCAGGATAAATGGAAGCTCTTATGAGCTATTTGCCATCAGAGACACGACGAGCGCACGTCTGAAAGCTTGGCTTAACACGGTCTGTGATGAGGGCTGCAAGTTCGGGTGCCAGGCTTTATACTGAACCAAGGCAAATGCTCTGCACTGTTGAACTTCTTGGGGGATAACATCTGCCTCAAACGGAGTGGAAAGCTGGGATGTCAGCTTTCCCAACTCTCGCACCAAGAGTTGTCACTTCTCGTCCATCAGTGTCTACACTGGCAATCTTTGCTGGGCAAGAAATACCACTGTGTAACACTCTGAGTATTGCTCATGTGTAAGTCTTACAAGCAGTGCTGTGCTGTACCAGCATAACAGAGCAGCTATTTCCCAGTATAAATGCATCTGTCCTGGGGACAGCTGCTGCCTTAGCAACTCTGTCACAGATCACATCTGCCTATGCGCATCCTCAACACAGTGCCACAGAAGTCTGCATATACATTTGAGACACAAAAATTATTTTTCTCTTTTCTGTTTTGCATGGAAAGACTTACCTTCATTTCAGAGTAACTGGTAAAATTATATCTAAAATAATACTGCACCAGATGTAGCGATGCAAGAGCAACATCTCAGTGTCAACAAAGGCAGATCAGTTGGAAGGAGGTTACTGAATATCCCTAATCACATCCAAGGTCTAAAGGGCTACTGACTCCAATCTCTCCAAGCTACCAGCTCTAGTTTGCAAGTTGCATTCGTGGGCAGTTTGTACTGGCACATAAAAATATGTCAGCAGGTTTTCTTGGTGGTCTCTAAAGCGAATGGGAAAGGAGCAGACATCACATTTATTACAGGATCACTGCGGTGCTCTTTCCACTGCCATTTACCCTCACAATAAACTACTGAAGAGACGATTAAAGAAGGCCAGGAACCAGGACAGAATAAAATAAAACATCCCACCACAGCCTTTCATTTCCTTTCAAGTTACAACTAACGATATGGCCATGTGGCAGTTGCAGACACCAGTAGCAGTCCGAGCACAGGGATCACGGCATGACAATCTGTCTGGCCACACTATGATACCCCCAAACACACTACTGCCCTTGGGATCGAGTCCCTCCATCCCCACCCTCTTCTGCTCTTGCACTGCCTTTTATTACAGCAAAGGACTTCGTTCAGACTCACTTCCTATGAAGCTCTCAAATTGCTGCTCTATCTGCCCCTTGGAAATGTCAAGGGAAAGACAGATTGCTGTTATCTGAGCCCGATTGTCTCATTCGAAAGGTAAGTTAATGATGATACAGGTCCTGACTTTAATTACCGGCTACATTCATCTTGGAGTGGTTAATTCTTGGAAGCTTTCCAAAAAACTCACTCTGCTGAGTCTATACAGGTGTAGGTCCTGGCAAAACAGGCTGACTTCATGCTTCCCTGGCAGGACCATCTCTTAAGTCTAGACACACACTTCTAACACTTCCCTATCCTCTGCTTTTTCTTTATTTTTCTTCTCATTAATAGACTAAGATAGCTCAGTATTTTTGTCATTGATTTATGTATGTGCATATACACCCAAGTCTGTGCACATTCCACATCCAGCAGAGCCTGAGAAAATGTGAGTTTTGCAGGACACTTTCCTGGAACAGGTGTCTTACATTAAGCCTAACTAAATAAATATGAGACATGTAATGAAATAAACAACCCCAGAAGATAACACTCAGTCAGCTTTTCATATAAACAGTACCTTTTCTTATTAAGGACCTGCTGTTTATTCCAGCAGGAACTGCTTAATCAAAGTGAGACCAAGCAGCCAGCTATTATTTCTACCCAGCAGTAGTGAGATCTCTGATAACTTTCAAACCAGGGTTCAGCAGCATCTCAGAGCTATGTGGAGCTATAGGAAACAAAGTCCCACAACACCTGCCCAGCCCAGCCTGGCAGTGAGGTCCATGCTTCCTCTCACCCCGGGTGCTGCTGTGGAGGAACCTTCCGACCCCCAAGACAACCATGAGCATGAATCTACCTGTGCCATCGTCTAGATGTCCAAAGTTACAGATCTGGCTGATGTTGTGCACCCAGATCTGCATCTCCTCCTCAGTTTTGGCCACCAGGTAGAACGTGCGGTAGGTGGTCCGCACAATGAAGACAAAGTTGTTCTGAAATTCCTTCTTGATGAAGTTGGGCCCCGAGTGCTTCAGCACTTCGCACTCGTTGAGGTCGATGATCCGAATGGGCTTTTTGGAGTGGTTGTTCCTGTAGTACTCCAGCACATCCGGGTTCCCGCTCATGCGGCCTCTGCGCAGCACGAACCAGCGCTTCCGCCATGCCTGCAAATAGCACAAACAGGGCCCTTTTAGTGCCAGCCACATCATATATCAACCAGCCCACACGTGCTTTTTTTCTGTCAGGTTTTATAGTCGTTTTGATAAGCTGGCCAAATTGTGACTTTGATTTGAAGTGCTTGCTATCAGCTTGCATTTATAATAGGAAAAAAGGCAGAGAGCTGACGCTTTGGAGGACAAGAGGAACAAGATTTCTCCCCGCTTCTCAGCCTCAGCCTGCCAGCATGGTGTAATTGAAATGATCAGATACTTGAGATACCATCTTCATCTCATTCTTGAAATGATCAGAAATGATGAGATACTATCTCATCGATAGAAGAGACTATAACACATTTTTCTCTGTGAAACGAAAACATCTAGGACTGCGCCCTGTGATGCAGTACATGAGCTAGTATCTGGCAACAAACACCTTTTGCCCAGCAAAGCCAAGGGCTCCAGATGACCTGTGCAGCTTCCCTCAGATGGATTTCAGTGCTAATAAAAAGCTGTTAATGAGCTGCCAGTTACTTCTGAAAACCCAGAATAAACCTTAGGGGAGTTGTAGTGCTAAAAAGTTAAACAGAAAACGTCCAAACTTTTCAGAAGGATGTCTATTTACACAGGTGCTGGTTCAAGTGACCGTCAACCCAAACCAAACCTGGTAGGCACTGATGCCTTTGAGACCCCTGTGACTGAAGGTATGGGTCCCGCACAGGCTTAAATGAAGTCCTGGCAGGACTAAGATGCAGCATCACTTTATAAAGCTACATGCAAGTTTCGAGGAATAAAATAACATATTTTCCCTTTTTTCCAGCAGCTGTTTTTGTTCATTAACAGTATAAGTGCCTGTGTGTTGATTACAGCTGTCACCAACACACTTACTCTGAGGGCCAGAAGAAATCCACCCCCAGCTCTGTTACACAGGGAAAAGCTGAAATAAGACATTAGGAGATTCACGCTTACCAAACTCCATAAAAACAGTTGTGTTGGATAAAGTCATGCCCAAACCAACAAGGCCTGGGTGGCTGCCAGCTAAGCCTGCGGCTGCCCCAGCTCTGATGGCAGCCCGAGAAAGGCGCAGGGGCTCATGCACTGCCCAGGTACCTGCAACAGCTGTACAGCACTGGCTGTTTTAATTGCCTTCGTAAGAGTTAAAAGTTCATTAAAGAAACATCTGAACAGCAACGACCACATCCTCTCTACCTGAATCTTACTCAGTGCTCTTTGCAAAATGACTTGTCACAATGACATGAATCTGGGTAATAGCTTGTGTTAAGAGTTAAAAATCATACTCATCTTGCAAAGAGGGGATCTGTCTGTCAGTTTAAAGACAGCCAACCATTCACTCGGCCTAAGACAAAATAACTGAGTTCAGGATGTTTTCACTAAGATGTAAGAGCCCTTACTGGCACAGTTTAGGATCAATACAGGCACTACAGATTTTGCTGACGCTGAGTTCCCATGCGCATGGTGATAGCTAAAATGATCAACAAGAAATAGCAACAATCATTTGTCAAGAAAAGGCTTTTTTTCCTTCTTCTTCTTCTCTTACTCAAAAGAGACTTTCTTGCAGTGCAGCAAGCTTTTCACAGTCTGTTGATATTCATCCAAAAATTTATCTAGAAGTAAGTCTGCTCAGCCTGGCAGTACCTTAATCGATTTTGAAAGCAAAAGATTCTTCAAAAATAATACAAAGGGACCAGAGAATGAAATATCATAGAGGGAGCTCTTGCAAGGCTGAACAAGCACGTATCAGCCTGTGTAAAGGAGCGGTTTTCAGAGAAGGGGCCACATCAGGAATAAACAGGAAGCAGAGGTGAGGTGCAAAGCGTATTAAACAAAGAAAATTAAGTCTTGCCCTGTGACCTGTTGAGGTTTGAAAGTGATTTGGTGTCTGTTGAAAGGATCTAGAGATAACAGATTACCGAGATATCTCAGACAAGTCTAATTTTGTGGCAGCCAGGAAAAAAGAACACCCCTCAAAAGGAAATAGAAACAAAGGAAAAACATTTAATGGAGAAAACACTTTCCTGACTAGCAAGCTTTAACAGTGGAACACAGCCCAGCAGGTATCTCACATGTATAGTCCCAGAATGAGTCCACATCTCTACCACCTGCAATCCAAGTGCCGCACAGGCCTAATGCACACCCCACAGACGCACCGGGACAGAAAGGTCACATCCCCTAACGCACTCTCACCCCTAAACAACAAAAGGGAAATGCTTCAGGAAGTCTAAGCCAAACAAGACCTGCTCCTTTGGCCTCCCAGGGAAGCAGGCTGCTAAAACAGAGGGGAAGAAGCCCTCAGCTCTCCCCAAAGACCACAAGGCCACTTTTTCCTCCTCTTCCCAAGGCTGCCAGCCCTGCAGCTTAAATACGCTTGGTTCCTTCTGATGGAAATTGGATGGGAATCACCTGTACATGAGCAAGCCAAGACAGGAGGAGAGGGGATGAGAGGGGATGGGATGGGATGGCATGGCATGGCATGGCATGGCATGGCATGGCATGGCACGGCACGGCACTAGCCATCATAACTGGGCAGCTGTGAAAACAGGGCTGCAGGGAAATAATGCCAGCCAGCTGCCAGCCTCTGCACTGCCCTTGAGAAGGGTGGGCCTCCCCTCTCCATCTCCCGCACGGCTGCTCTCGCTGCCTTTCCCCGGCTCGTTGCAGGGCCTGTGCAGCCAGCCAGCTCCCCATCCAGCTGAAAACCGTCATTTTTTCTCGTGGGGGTAACACATGAGCTGCAGGAAACCTGCAGGAAGGTGGGGGGCGGAGAGGGACAGAGGAACAGCCCTTTAGTCATACCGCAAGCTCAGACAAGCTGGAAGTCCTTGTCTGCCGCCGTTAATTGCCCTGAATATCAACATTCTCTGAAACCGACGGTGGTATCTTGCAGGGATCAGAGCAAATACCCTGCCTGTGCCTCCGACCCACCTCTGGACCTGGAACCGAGGGGAGGGAGAGGCCCTGATGGATGGCAGCCTTTAAATAGGCACAGCCTGAGTCAGCAGTGCAGGTGAATCAGCACTCACAGATCTCCAAAGCCTTTTAAGCACTAAACCCCCCCTGAAGTTAGTGTGGGTGCCATGGCAGGGTGGCAGCAGGGCAGGGTGGCAGCGGTGCAGGGTGATGGTGCAGCCTGGCCGATGGGGAGTTTGCCAGCACTGCCTGGCAAGCTCACCTGCTGCCCTGTGCCAGGGCTGCTCCTTTCCTGCCACCAAAGGGAGCCATGTCAGGGGCAAAACCAGAGGAAATTGCCTCATCCCACATGGGGAAATGGGGAGCACTGTCAGCTCGGTGCCCCAGCCTCACCTGGGTGCAGACAGGCCAGCACCAGAGAGGGGTAGGAGAGTGGGAGAAGATGGGACCAGCTCATCCCTTGGTGCTTGCTGTTAACATCAGCTTTGTTGTACCATCGAACTACATCCATGCACACAATGCACTTGCACCTCACCCCTCCAGGCTTCTTTTTTATTCCTCCACTCTCTAGGAGGAAAGCGGCATCACCTACTGACACAGCTACCTGCATGTTGAAGGACCATCTTTTCTACCTCTTCTCCCATTTAACATATCCAGTCCCACCACTGTCTCCCCTCAATGGCTCATTTCCATTCTGAAACTTTCACTAATATGTGCCTTTACTCACAAAATATTGTACTCCAGAACAGTTTTACTTATCCTACAATGCTGAATGTACAACGTGCCGAATTTTTGAGACACTTGCAGCTTGCCTGCAAACGGACACAAACAGGTTTGACATTGCCAATACACACGACTCGCCCTGCCCCGTGCCATAGGCAAAGCAGGGGTTTGCCTCTCAGCATAAGGCTCTTACCTCCAAGAGTCAAATATCCTTTCCTCATTTTCCTGGCATTTGCCTGCAATGAGCAGTGAGCAATGTCTCCTTTCCCCAGGGGAAAGGGATGCAGCACGCTGGAGTTGCTGGGAGCCCAGCTGTGGCAGACCTTGGCCAGACAAGACAGTGGCAGCAGCTTCTAGCTCGCAGGGACCCAGGCAGCTTGCGTACTGCGCAGTGCACTCTGCCGGAGCCGGGGCCAGGGCTCCTCAGCCCCGGGCCAGAGGCACAGAGGGTGCCTGGCACCTCATAGCCCCTGCCCTCCAAGGCAGGCAGTCGTGCCCCATGGCAGCTCCTCTCCAGTGCCCACCCCAGCCCCATGGCAGAACCTGGTGGGTTTTTACATAGTTGTACACTCTCGGTTTTCTTTTTAGCATTTACCGGTCACAAGGCTGCCTCCTCCTTCCCCTGTCATGGTTCTTCCTGTCATCCCTTGTTTCTGTCTTTGCAGCATGACCTTCGCTCACAGACGAGGTGTGGTGTGGCATGTGCCTTCTTCTCCTTCCCCATCACCCACCCAATACAGAAGCTGTGCCTGTGCCAGCACCACAGCACACGGCACTGAGCGCCTGCCTGGAGCCGGAGTGGGCTCCTCATGGCTCATGGACCCCTTGCTGGGGAAGGGTGCGCTGTGCCAGCACCTCGTGGTACAGCAAGGAGCTCTGCTCCCTGCTCCCTCCAGTCCTGGGCAGCACTGTGTGCATGATCAACCTGCACCCTGTGCTGCTGCAATACCCTCCTTCTCATGGTTTGTAAGGCACAGTTGCTACTACCGTGAGCCTGTGCCCAGAGGACCAGTTCCCGTGTTTGCTGCAGGGTGCTGGTGCCAGGCTGGGAGCACCTTTGAGCTTCCACAGCAGCTTGAGGCTGGGGGGGTGCCAGCCGAGGAGCCAGCAGGGCTGGAGTGGCAGGGCTACGGCGAGAAGGGACTTATTTCAGCTGATCAGAGCCAATAATATCTGACAAAATTTAGTCTGGAGCTGCACACACTGCCAAATTCACAAAAGAATTTGCAAAAATTTAAGGGTGAGAGATTGTGCTTCCATGGTTGAGATGAAGTAACCTATATACTCAAACAGGAACTGATTCCTAGGATTCAGCATAGCCTTCTCATTTACACCATGGAAAGGATCTACACGTCCAGAAG